CAACATTAATATTATCTTATTTTTATTTACCTGTATCAAAATTATTTTTTAAATGTAACTGATGAAATATTACTTCTCAATAACCAGAAATATGGAACTTGTAGAAAAATTTTAAAATATTAAGTTTTGCAATCTTAGTCACTTAAAATGTAATACTAAGAAATTAGATCACGAGATCTATTTGCAAGAATTTGACGTTTTTTTATAAATAACTTACGATAGTCTTATGATATAATGACGTAATTTTTAAACAGTTAAAAAGCATCAAAAAGGAAATTAATTTTATGTTTATCCAGCAGATAGAGGTACTTACTAATAAGATCTAGCAAATGGACCATTTTACCCCGCGGTCCGTCTTACCCCACCTTCCCCTACTCTGTAAGTTTCCTCTACACTTTCGTTTATATTCAAACATACCAAATCACCTTTTACTTCCATAACATCTCAGTATCAGAGTGAACGGTACAACAAAAACAGCGTACAGGAAAGAAATTAGGAAATTTCTTTCACAAATATCAATCACAAATAAATCAGGTAAAAATTTACATTTATAACACATATAATCTAATTGTAAGATAATATATATAATCTCTTCAAAATCTTTATGACACTTAAGAATCTTCGAGTTTGAATAATATCCAGAACAATTTGAAATTATTGTCATATCTTTAAACTGGTTCGATATACATATATATGTATGTCTCGAGCTTATCGTTACGATTGTCGTGATTGCCAAATTCAATTTTGATATCAATAGACTTTAATTTTGCACAACCAATTTTATATTAGTTATTTTGCAGAGATAAAGAGTTACATTAATTTAATCCACAATACTCTGATTTTTATCGTATTATTTTTAACTTACATTTATGATTTAAAAAAAAGTTAAAAACAAATTAAATTAATATAATAATGTGATAAACATTTGTTTTTTTTTTGTTTAAGACGTGCATTTTAAAGATCTTGTAAAATGTTCACTCGTTACGAAATATATTACACGATTTTATTTGTTGTCGTGGGTAGTATATTCGCTGCTAATTGTCCAAACAATGAGACATGCAAATGCACATCAAATGAACTGGTCGAAATAAATTGTAAAATGAACGATTCTTCTATTAAAATTCAAATTAGACCAGGACAATTTATGAAAGTATGTATATATGTCTTTTAAGTCACAGGTGTTCTGTTATTTTTAC